TAACGAAAATGTTCTCCTGGCATATTTTGAACATCTTTCAAAACATAGGAAGGCTTCATCACTTTGGGTATATTATTCCATGCTACGTTCAGTTATATCAGCGAAGAAAAATACAGATATTAGCAAGTACGTCCATTTAATTGCATTTCTAAAAAGAAAATCGGAAGGATTTCGGTCAAAACAATCGAGAATTTTAAGAAAAGAAGACATAACTCGTTTTTTGTTGGAAGCTGATGATAAAACTTATTTCCTGACAAAAGTTTCATTGATAGTGGGACTTGCGGGAGCCTGCCGGCGTATCGAGTTGACAAATCTGCAGCTGCAAAATGTTAAAGATGAAGGACAATGCATTCATGTCATTATTCCCTTTACGAAAACAAAGATATCACGATATTTTTTTTATAACGAAAGGGAATGTTGAAGGAATAAATATGGTGGAAATGGTTTGAAGATATATAGCTATGCGACCAAGCGAGACAGAGCATACTCGATTTTTTGTGGGGTACAGAAATGGAAAATGTATTAAGCAACCCGTTGGCATTAATACTTTAGGGAAAATGCCGTATAAAATAGCATTGTTCCTAAGTCTTCCAAATCCACAACAATACACTGGACATTGTTTCCCTAGATCATCTGCGTAGTTGCTTGCAGATTCAGGAGTGGATTTATTAACTGTTAAAAGACATGATGGTTGGCGCTCTAACACAGTGGCAGAGAGCTATATAGAAAATTCCAAAGGAAATAAGAAAAAAGTGTCAGGTAATATTTTGGGTAACATTTCTGGCAATGATGGGTCTTCAACAAGTTCAAGCACTCAAGAAATAAATTTACTCTCTATAAATTCAACTCACCTGTCATCGTCTGGAATTAATTTAATCAATTATACTGATATTATAATTAATGTTTACAATAAATAAACGTATTTAGGTACCTTTTTTTGCTTGATTCTTATTTTAAAATTTGCGTGTTATTATGAATTCATAATAGCACTAGTGCTATTATGAAAGCCATAATGGGGGCATCCAAATGACAATGTTTAAATGTGTCATAATGACATTGTCATAGATTAATTTTATAAATGACACCGTATGATCGAAAAAAAAAACGACTTCACAGTTTGTTGGGGAATAACAATCGATGATAATTTTGGCGAGGTCAATCTCTATATAGACGTCATTTACTAAAAATTGACATAAAACTTGTCAAAAATTAACATTAATTATAGAAAAATTAAAAAAAGAGAGAACGTTTCCAGGCACAAATTGTCATAGATTAATATTATAAATGACACCGTATGATCGAAAAAAAAAACGGCTTCAGAACTGGTTGGGGAATAACAATCGATGATAATTTTGGCGAGGTCAATCTCTATATAGACGTCATTTACTAAAAATTGACATAAAACTTGTCAAAAATTAACACTAATTATAGAAAGATTAAAAAAAGAGAGAACGTTTCCAGGCACAAAAATCTAGTTCCAAATTATTTTCTTCTCGAATTTTAAATTACACTATTTAAAAATCATTTTTACTCAATACAAAAATAAATTACAATCTTCTTAAGGTCAACTGGCAGTAAGCACCACTAAACATAAAGAAGAGTATAGACTAAGTAAGTGACGTCTAGGGTTCGACCTCGCAAAAATTATAATCGATTTTGTCATTCCCAGCCTTCTTTGACGCCGTTTTTTTTATCGTATGGTATATAAAGACCAAATAATACGGAATAATGAATAAAACACTAGATAGATTTATCTATTTGGTAAACGTTATTTTAATAAAAGTGTATCATATCAATAAATATTATGATAAAAACGTACAGTGGGTATCAGAAATTGATTTTGACAGGAGCATTGGGTCATTAGATAAAAAACCGAAGTTACATGAATGAAAAGCAAGATCAATATCCATAAGGACATTAGAAAATTGGAATTTTACAACATAACCGTATGGTTTGCCCATAATTCCATATTTTTATTTTTTTTTTAATTTCATATTGTCTTATTATTAACATAGATTCTTATGTTATATTTTTTTATGATGACTTGATGATCTGTATTCAAATAATATATTCACTTGTTTTGACAAGTAGGAATTGAAAAATTGATGATTGAACGACTTCGAATTCAAATTTTATAGTTCTGGACTATTTGATTTCAAAAAATATCTCGATACATTTTCGAAATTAGCGATATCTGGCATGTAGACCTGATTTAAGCGAAAAAGCTATAGCATTGACAATTAAAATATTACCTTAAAGTTCAAGGGCATTACAGGAAGTGCACAAAGACAAATTAAAACATACTGTCATCAAGTTATATCATAGAATACCAAAAGATCAGTTAGCAACAATATGGAATACTGTCTTATTGAAAATTTAGGATCCTTAAATACTAGATAACAAAAATTATCTACAAATTACTAGTAGATAATTATATTTCTGATAATTCCTATAGGTATCTATTTTATGAAATCCTTAGCCTTCTTGATCCACCAGTAGATATTGCACGTCTTGTATTACAAATATCTGTGATTTTTACAGTAAATTTAATGCATGCTTTTAGATTAAGAAATGCACAACTGAATTCAAGAGTATTTTTGCTATTGTATAAACTATGCTTTAAGAAACTTCGTCAGTTAGATAGACTCAATATTCTTATGAAGTCATCTTTAAAGAAACAACTGACCAATTAACAGATACTTTAACAGCCAGGATGGGTTAAACATTCTACTTCTTCTCGCACGTTTTGCTTCCATTTTTGAAAGTTTTTGTATTCCTTTTCATAAGTTATTCGGGATTTAAATGGAAGTAGTTTGGATATGGCGTTTGTCGCCTCAGCCTCAATATCTGTTGGTAATTTACTTATTTCGTTTTGAGCCATTTCTGGCTCCAATTCAATCAGCAATCGACACGAAAGAGAATTAAAAAATATTGACTCAAAACTGACAACTAAAGAGACAACTTTATTTATTTGTCAAATTACATAGGAACCAACGCCAACCCAGCACAATATTTTTTCTACTCGTAATAAATTCCTTAAATTAATAATTTCTGAATATTTTTTAAAACGTAACTCGCTATGGAAAGAAATATTGTTTTATTCACGACGATAAAATTGCATTATCGTCTCCCGAAATTAATTCACTCCCGATTTCATCGCTCGTGAATTAATATTTTCGGTCTGGTCTAGACTAGTAGTGGGAACTATCGAATGAATACTATCGAAACATTCGATAGTTGCAATTCATTCGAATAATTCGATAGCTAGTAAGAAAACATTCGTCGAAAACTATTCGAATAAAAATATCGAATAGATGCGTCATCTGCCTTGAAATATATTAATTCGGCAGCAAAAACCATTCATTTATAAAATTCATTTATTCGTCAGGATCGATTATAATAAAATATAAACTGGATTTTAGTTGTCGCCCCGCGACGTAGGTTTCTTTCCTAGAAACCCGACAGCGGTCGGCGGTCGGTGGCAATAGTATGAAAAAAGCCGGCATCTTTGATTTTGAGTCAGATAAAGATAAGGACACATTATTTTTTTATTGAGGTGCTAGTATTTACACAGAAAATACATTATGAATGGCGCTGTTGCCGTATATTCGTATTAGTTGGTATTAGCAAAGAATATTATTCTTTGGTATTATAGTTAGTTAGGGATAGTATAACTATATATTTTGCATGTTTTTTTATTAATATTCTGTTGTTACACTGCAATAATACTTTTTATTTTGGATATAGGAAAATGATTTTTAATGTTTTTAAGCAAAACTGGTTTAATAAATAATAATAACAGTAATAATTTGTTATACCTATTAACACCAAAATTTAAAATCATTTAATATAAACATTTTTTAAGTAGTAGCAAAATATAAACAACAAATTAGAAGTCAAAATTATTTATATTAGATCCTATTTAAAAATAATATAGTCTCTAAATTTTTTGGCAACGTTGGTTTATTAAATAATAATAATTACAGAACTAATTCGTTATATTAACAACAAATTTTAAAATCATGAAATATAAACATTTATTAATTTTCTAAGCATGCAGTGTAATAGAAGAAAAAGATAAATAAAAAATTAGAAATCAAAATTATATATGTGTATTACTTTTTATTACTTTGTATTAGTATTTAAAAATAATATTTGCTTTTACTGGCATTTACTTTAAAGAATAAATGAAATATTTCTCCACAAAAATCTACATGTAAGAGAATTAGCATAAACAAAATACAAATATCGTTAACTTTTTTTTTTAAATTGGCACGTGTAAAACTTTAATCAATCAATTTAATTTTCTCATCCCAAAATTTGAGTTCGATAACCATTTACTTAACCACATTACCACTTTACTTAAATATGATTATTAAGTTCAACTAATTCATATTACTAAAACATCTAAAATACAAATACATATGTATTTTTAAAAGTAATTGTAAGTTCACCTCATCTCTCTTAAAAATTGTTACTTCTCAAAATTTTCCATTAAAAAAATAGACCATAGGTATATCGTATAAAATTAAATAATTGAAAGATCGGAAAATCACACAAATTTTCGGAAAAATTTTGACCACCTGCACTCGTACACAATCGTCAATTAAAAAAAACACTACTACTTTAGTATTTTAAATATTTTAATAAACGCAAAAATAGCACAGTATTTAGAAGGCAAGTTATAAAAATTTGGAAGAATTAATAATGCACTGACGCAGACAAAAATCAAACGAATACTAAATTTCATTTATCAAAAGCATTCGATAGTCGTGGCTTAACGATAACCATTTAGTTGCACGGCGAGGTTGTCACATATGCTTTAGTATACAAATGAATGAATGATTTTATTCGAATGAAACCATTCGATAGTTGAAATCATTCATTCAGTAACCATTCGATAGTTCCCATCGCTAGTCTAGACGATAAAATACCATTTTATCGTCTTGTATAAAAAATAACTATTTATCTTCATACAAACAATAAAAATATAACCCCACCTTTTAAATCAAAAGGGCGTCCTAGATTTCACTCGTGTTCAGTACGTTCCCAACTTTTTCCGCTTCGAGACGTACTTTTTATCCATAAAAAAGTCACTTTCTAACAAACCAAAGTACCGACACAATATAAAAAACTCACAAAAAATATATCACAACGACCTCAATATGTATCACAATCCTCCTTTTTTTCGGTCACGTACATAAGTCACTTTTTAAAGCACCGTACACACAATTTTTCTCCTCGGTAGTACCACCACACGAACATATAGGACACACGAGGATCGACTACCCGATCCACTAGTCGCAGGATCGGTAGACCTGCCTACCGCTTCCCCCACTCAACTATTCACACTCAACTCCGTCTCTCATTCGTTAAAACGCTCCCTACGTCACAATATGGCAGACATTAATGGGCGGGTCCCATTCTTTACTCATCTCTTTCTGTGCGCTGTAAGATACGATCATCGTCCTTTTTCAACTGAGTTTAGGGGAAGTTTAAAAGAAGGGTGGGTTTGAGTGGGGTGTTTAGAGGGATCTAGGGGGATGTGGCGGCTTCTGTATAGGGTGAGCCAAGCAGAGATTGGTACGGAGCGGTTTGAGAGGTGGTGATGTCGTATTGTTTGTTATTGGGGTCAATAAAAATCTGTTGGGTTGGTTATTATGGGGTGAAGAAGTTTGTTGTGTTAAAATATTATGATTAAATTAGAATGATGAATAGGCGTTGTAAAATGAGGATTTATTTAACAGAAGTTTTATTAATTAAAATTTAATTTATTAACAAAATAGAACAAACTTTATTGCTAGGTAGGTTAACAGGAACAAGAAAAAGAAAGTTTTCAATTCCAACTTATAAAGTTCCATAAATAAATTATATAACAGAAAAGATACCATACGATCGAAAAAAAAACGGCGTCAAAGGTGGCTGGGGAATGACAATCAATGATAATTTTGGCAAGGTTAAGCTCTAAACGTTATTTACTAGGGCTTGTACTGCCAGTTTGGCCCTAAGAAGGTTGTAGTTTATTTTCATATTGAGAAAAATGAATTTTAAATGGTGTATACTTAGTTTAAAATTAAAAAAAACTAATAATATTTTGGTAAAACACTTGTGAGTTTGGAAACGGTCTATTCTTTTTAATCTATCTATTATTAGCGATTTTTTTTGGACAAGTTTTATGTCAATGTTTAGTAAATGACATCTATTACAGTTGAGGGTTGGAACCTTTGGTGTTACATGATGATGCTAACATGGTTAGCGAAACGCGCGTCCATTGTAAAAGTAAAAGTGTTTTGGTGTATTGTGGTGAAATGACACCTAGAGATTGACCTTGTCAAAATTATTATCGATTGTCTTTGACGTCGTTTTATTTCGATCATACGGTACTATTAGGTTTATTTTCATCTATTAGATAACTATAATTATATCGCGTGCATGCATCTCAAAAGTGGCTCACCCCTATATCTTTTTTATTTTTTTCAGATAAAAAAAACGGGATTTGGTATGCTAGTATACGACATAAATTAGGATTGATTGACGTATTCAATACTTTTCGGTCACTTTTGACATTTTCGTTTAAAACATCGTTCTTTAAATTTGAATCTAGAGTGCCATGGCTGTGTTAGAAACACTAATTTTTAATCAAGGAGCCTTGGAAAAATAGGTTTGATCGTCTAATGTTTCTCGTGTCTTGTCCTGACCGGTTAAAAGATGCCCAAATCGTATTTTTAATCATATCTCATTTTTTTCAAATGGATCAAGGGTGGCTCATTAACATATTTGGAAAAAGCATTTTTTTGTGAATAATTTGATACCACATACTTGGTATTTCGAGTCAAATTGTCGTTATGAACCGCATGTTACAATTTCAAATAAACCATAAAAGCAAAAATGGGAAAAGTTGACATATCATATGTCATTCTATTCAGAGTGTCATTTTCTATCGAATAAAGTAAAAATTTTCGAGGGTGTCATTTAAAAATTAAAAGTTGTAGTCATTTGCGATGAAACAGGAAGTGAACAAAAACGATTGAATACGATAATCAATCCCAGTTTATGTCATATACTAACACACCAAATCTCTTTTTTTTAACTGAAAAAATAAAAAAGTTATAGGGGTGAGCCACTTTTGAGACGCACACGGTATATATATATATATATACCTATAGCCTATAAGTTTTTTTGCAAAAGAAAATTGAAAATGTTGTATATTTATAACATTTTTAAATTTGCAGTTAAAAACATATTACGTATTTTTTAGCCTTAGGTTTTTTATATTTAGGTTTTTTATATTTTAGGTTTTTGATGATATGTCAAAATACAGTAAAGTTTACTTCGGGTTTTTCTTATTACCGATTCTGAACCGTCCTATAGAACTGCTACTACGCCTCCGCAGAAGAAAATATGCATCAAGTTTTTCATCTGCGCATGCGCTGTAAAGAAGTCTAAATCCCGAAGTAGTGATGAGCGAGTGAAAAACCAACACCAAGACTCCATTGACTCACTACCCCAAAGAACTCGTCCTGTAAGAATTTTTTTACACAGTTATCTTACATGACACAATTAAAGGAACTATCTTATCAGTGACGATATAAAAAATAGAAAGAAAAATAATACTTTAAAGTAACAACCTTTCTTTTGCCAGTGAGCCAGTGTGTTTGCTAACTCTAGCAATTAATTTATCACGTAGAAGATAAGGGATGGCCGACTATAGTTTTAATTAGACGTCAAGCCGGTGTTTGCCCACCATCAAAAAAGAGGACATGCTATATAGAGGAAATTCCCTAGTTATAAAGTCGATTTTATCAAGCTTATAGAAAAAGCGCTGGCTCTCCAAGGCGTGATCGTATCGTTTAAAACTTTAAAAAGCAGCGGGGTGTTCAAAATGGCCTTTTTCTTTTATAGATAATCGATTCTGAGTGGCTTTATATCTACTTATACAGGATGTTTCAAAAAAATATGTGCCATCTCTCGTGGGGAGATTCCTCACGTAAAATTTTTAAACAGGGGGTTGCGCTTAATTTTTACTCTTTCTTAATTTTTTTTTCGATTTATTATAATTTTTTTGCAATTGTTTTTAGCAATTTTTTTAGCATAATTTTGAGGGTAAAAGATACTATAAGTACTACATATTTTAATGCTAAAATAGTGCCGAGAGATTCCAGTGGCGACTCGTCAGTGTAGGGAAGGTTTTAGGCGGCGTCTACCCTACAATTTTGTCAGACTTTAAGCGGTTTATTACATTATATTATTTACTATTAATGTTGCCAATGCATAAAAATACTGTTATTACACGGAAGTGTGTTGTAATATTCAATATTAATTTAATATTTTTGGTCTTGTATATTAAAATATTCACTACCGCTGGCGTACGCTGATTGCGCCGCTGCACAGTGTAACGAAATCGGGAAATGCGGGACAATCATCAAGTTTTTTATATAGATGGATAAAGGACATCCCAGAGATCCACCATGTGAGATATTTCTTGAGTTGACCTCTTAGTCGGGGAGTTATGGCGGGTTAAAGTTATGGTTTCCTTAATTTACCAAATCTGTACAAAAATTTCATAAAATGAAATTTATTATTTTCAGAAGTTTCCTTGTGTTGTTCAATTCCAACAATTTTTTCCGTAAAGAGAGGTTTTTTAGCAACAACAAACCTGAAAAAAATGTCTCAATTTTTTTCAAGTCTAGTTTCTACATGTTTATTATGACTTTCAAAAAAACGCTTACATTCGCGCAAGGTTATATATACAAAATACCATAGAGTGAACCTTCTAGTATACCGTTACATATAAATTTTATCCACCTAGATCCGAACCTGGAAGAAAAAAATAAATTTCTTCGGCAATAATTACGTTTTCCATTGATTCGACCGTAGTTTGGTGACATATGAAAGAGACAGTAGAACTATTTCGTCCCATTGCTGCCAAAAGTCACTAACTTACTCTTTATTACTTCCGAGAAAAATGCGTCTAAAAATGAATTGCATTGCATAAAGATGTTATAGTTAGTAACTATTCGGTATTAAAATAAAACATAAATAGCCAGAAATCGTAAATAATGACTTTTGCAATCGATTCTCCGCTTCAAAACATAGTTAGTTATTGAATTTGGTTGTTCGGAAAAATGTTAGTTAGTGACTTTTGGCAGCAATAGGACGATTTGTTTCCCTTTACGGTTGGTATTATATGCCTTCAAGCATTCATATGCTTTTGATTCATGGTGCAGATATCTGTGAACGTTTTCAATTTATATCCATCGGCAAAATGTCCGAAGAAGCATCTGAATCAAACAAAGAATTTCGATCGTTCCGCCAAAATTTTTCCAGGAAGAGTGGTAAGGAAACTGTTGAAGATATATTGCACAACTTATTGATATATTAAAGAGAAAGCCCTCTAAAAATAAAAAAGTAGACTTGTTTCCGGAAGCGAAAGAGCTCTTGTATATGGATGGAGAAGAAATTGAGAATGATTTTTGAGCATGTTTTATGTAAGTGCCTTACATATTATGTTATTTTGGAATAATATACACCCCACATAAATTATCGCATCACTTATTAATTTGGAAAACTGCAAAGTATTCGTAAATTCTCTTGGTTAACAATAATCTCAAAAGTTATTTGCATTAATAGCAACTTGTTAAGGAATGGAAAGTATATCATAACTCAGGCAGACCTTAGATTTAAGTTTTTCTCATAAAAATGTTTGAAGCGTTTCAAGAATAAATACTACTTACGAAAAATATAAGTGTTGCACAATTTTTTGTTAGGTGTGTATTATGGTTTCCTTTGTTGAAGTTGAATACGTTTTTTTTACATATTATCATATTATTTAATACTGTTAAAAGATATTTGCCACTTGTGTCGTTCTCTTTGAGTTTTGCTGTCTTATCTAATTTATCCTTGATTACTTAACTATTTAGGAATGTTGATTGAGTTTTGACATATTAGCGGGAGATAAATGATTGTTCGACAGTAATTTGATAACGTTTTTGGTCCATAAGAGCTATAAACTCTTCGTAAATAAAAAAAATATACCTCTAAAGTCCTTTTATAAAACTTCGTATTCTTTTTGACCGTCCATTACGCCTTTTTTTACTCTTTTCGCCCTGTAGCAAAAATTCCTAGTCGTATTATTTAATTTCTTTCAAAAAATTTCAGCAAGAATAGTGATAACTGAAGAAAAATGCCAATGTTCCACTATTTTAGTTTTCGTTACACTGTGCGCTGCCTTAGAAAACAAAATAATTTTGACCGTTGGTGTATA